ATGAATGTCATGATCACATAAATAAAAAATAGGGTAAAGTATACAAATGGTCTCCCAACTATAGGATAATGCTATATTAAGTCTCTCAACTATTAAAAGTTACAAAATGGTCCTCTGACTATAGAGTATTGCTTTGTTTAATCTCTCAACTATTAAAAGTTATAAAATGGTCACCCGACTATTTATTATATTCATAACTCATCATTTCTGTTAAAAATGATGGTATTTTGAGCTGAACAGTAACATGCTAATTGTAATTTAATAAAATTTAATCCCAGAATCTCAAAAGACTATCATATCTCAGTCATCATGTTAGTGTAGAAAATTGTCAACTTTTTAACGAAAAAGGACGAGTTTGAAATATAATGAATAGTCGGGTGACCATTTTGTAACTTTTAATAGTCGATTGACTTAACAAAGTAACATTCTATAGTTGGAGGACCATTTTGTAACTTTTAATAGTTGGGAGACATAATAAAGCACTACCTTGTAATAGAGGGACTATTGTATACTTTATCCTAAACAATATAATATTCAAAAATTAATTTTTTAAGAAATAAAAAGGATTAATACAAAAATAAGTATTTAACTATACCCAAATTTGACTTTTGGTGCCTAAAGAAGTTTTTGTTAAAAAATGTGTCTAATATTTTTCCATTGCACTTTTATGTGTTTATCGTTAAAAAAATCATTAAGTGACACATGTCACGTTTATATTTTTTTGACTTTTTAATAATAAAATATTATTTAAAAAATATATATTTTTTAAAATATGAACGTGAAACGTGTCACTTAATGAGTTTTTTTAAAGGTAGACACCTAAAAGTATAACCTAAAAAATTTAGGCATCTATTTGAATAAAAATTTCCTTAGACACCAAAACAACAACAACAACAAAAACAAAACCCTATTCTCATATGCAATGGGATAAGGGAGAGATAGGGTAGTAGGCTGCTCCCAACATCAGGTTTAGAGCAACTTCCGTAAAAGACCTCCGGGTCCTTAGATATTATTGAACCACTTATTTTTATATTAAGCCAAATAAAAACAATAATAAATGGGGGAAAAGCATGCATTTGCATCTCCTAAAACAGCCCGGAAATCAAGATGTGAGCTGTCCATAAAGTTAACTATAATAACCGAAATACCAATCGGACACATCGCTTTATTCGATGTCATGTTCGTATGTAATTACGTAAATACGTGTACTTTGAAGGTATTATTTAATGCTTATTCTATTCATTTGCTTTAAAATAATCTTCAATTAATTAAAGCTTAATCTCAATTAATTAATTAGGAAGAGGATTGATAAACTATGGCATGAAGATTTTAACTCTCCTTGATCATTATCTTTTCTTTTAGGGAAAAATACATATTTAGTACTTAAATGATCAGTTTTGATATGTTTTAATATTTAAACTTTTATTTTTTTCAAAGTCATATATAAAATTTAGTTTTTGTTTTATTTCAGTACCTTTTTAAAATTTAACATTAAGCTTTTTAAAAATTGAAAGTTTAGGTAAAAATAGATCAAAACTTATAGTTTAGATACTAAACGTGTTAAGATTTTTATGGTGGGTACTAAAATGAAACAAAAACTAAATTTTAGGTATAATTTGAAAAAAATTAAAAATTTATATATAACATATCAAAACTGATAATTTAGATACTAAATACGTAATTTATTTTTCTTTTATTTGAATACTCATTCCGCTTGTTTACCACCTTCATGATTATGCAATCATGTAGGTTTGCCTATTGCCAAATAATAATAATCCATATTTATCTCTTTCGCACCCTCTTCGTTATCATATCTTCATCTATCAAAATTTAAAACCTTGGAAGCTCATCGAAGTCTTTATAATTTCATATCTTTCAATCATCTATAATGTTTTGATATAATGATTTATAGATCATCGTAATCTATCAATTAAATTTAATATTTGACAGTTAAATCTATTTAAAATGTTAATGAATTGATAATATATATTTAAGGGTGAGTTATTTATTTGGTCAATATATTATTTAGTTTTTATTTTGAACAACTATTATTTTTTTCAAAATTATACGTAATGTTATGTTTTGGTTTCGTTTGTTTTCACCCGTTAGCATTACCGTTAATTTAGAAAAAGTTAATTACGACATTGATGTGTCACCATAAGGTGATGCCACATCGATATTGAAAATGATAAAAAAAATGACACATCGACATCGTCATTAAATTTTTAACAACGGGTGATTAAAACAGAACCAAAACGTAATGTCATATATGATTTTGAAGAAAATAATAGTTGAGTGACCAAAACATAAACTAAGCAATAGGTGAATAACTAAATAAATAGCTTATCTCTATGCAGTATTGCACGAACCAAGTGACTTTGATGGTAAAGAAATCACTATTATATTTTGAGGTCATGAATTTGAGCATCAAAAATATCAAAAGTACATACATTTAATACCAAATAATTAAGAATTTTATTTAAAATATGTTACCTGTATTTACCCTAAATTAATAAATAAAAAAGAACTCATTACCAATAATAACTTTTTCCTCCAATAGTGGAAAATTTCACTCCGTATTTTTTTATATTACACAATTCATGTCAATTTAGGTTAAAATATCCTTAAAATAATATTTTCTATTCTTATAAACCCTTCTTTGTTTTTATTTCCATCATTCCCCATATTATCATTAAAAAGTCATAAAACTAAATTGCTTCGTAATAAAATATCTAAACTACACCCATCATTCAAAAAGATACGCAAACAAATAATAAATAATACAGATAATTTTTAATATTGTTTTTTATTTAAATGAAAAAAAGTTTGTTTCATTCAATTCTAAAAAAGATTTTAGAAGTTTTGTTATTTTGATGATATTTCTCGCTTTGGACTCTCATATTGATTTGGATATGTGTTTTGCATTCGTGGATAGTTTTCTAACGTCGTTTGACTCTGATTTGCGATTTGTCGGTTGTCTTCAGTAGCTTTATCCCTTTTGTGGTTCGTTTGTCGATGCAGTCAGATTTGTTCATATCTTTATTTTGTTCGAGCATTGGTTAGATTTTTTTAATCTTTTCCTTTTTTTGGTCATTGTGTGATCTATGTGGCTATTTTATGTGTCAATGGTTGCAGTAAAATGTCATAATTATAATTTAATTTATGTTTACGGTTATGCTTGTAAATCTTCATTGTAATTCTGGATATTTTATATTGTTAATAAAACTAGCTTTTTTATATAAAAAAGATTTTAGAAGTAAAAAATAATTCTAAAATATTTTAAGGAAAATATTAAAATTTGTATATTTAAAGTATGAACTTAGATTTTCTTATAAATTGAGTAATAAAATATATAAGTACAAGATTTATAATTATTTATTAGCATATTTGATTTAATAGTGAATATGATAATTAAGAAGTTTATAAATTTGAAATTCATTTTTATATTTTCAAATAAAAAATAATTATATATTTTTTTGGTTACTCTTCTAGTTCCAAGACTTTGCTTGATTAATTTGAATTGACCCGCATCACACACCTAGCTTTGATGGGTGAGTTTCTCAGCAGGGATTTTCTGCATACACAAGGACTCGAACTAGAGATATGCTTAAGTGATATCAAGTTTCATGAATATATTTAAATATATTATATTGTACAATGACATTAACAAATATTAAATTATTTATGTAAAATTTTAAAGAAAAATATATAAATTATAAAGAATAGAAAAATATGTTTTCTATGAATTTTATATAAATATTTTTATATTAATATTAAAAATTTTATTTGTTAAAAAATATAATAAAATTAATTTAATAAAATATATATTATGAAAATTTTATATTTCTAAGTAAATATTATAATTTTATATTCTGTCAAATAAACTAAATAAAATAAAATAATATTATTAAAAGTGTATTAAATAATATCATACTTTAAAAACTATACTATTAAAAATAATATTATATGTTGTTATTCTTTGAGGTCGGGTTTGTGCACCGCATATATAAGAGTATGAGTGTTCATTGTCAAATAATTAAGAATCTTTGAACAAATGCTATCTTGAATTCACCCAGATTTATTAAAAAGATTAGATTAAACTATGTATTTAGTACCTAAAGTATCGATTTTGGTCCGATTTAGTACATAAACTTTCAATTTTTCAAAATCATATATAATGTTTAGTTTTTATTTAATTTTAATACTCTATCATTAAAAACTAACGCATTTAGTACTTAAACTATCAGTTTTGATCCGTTTTAGTATCTAAACTTTTAATTTTTTTAAACTTCACTTTAAATTTTGAACAAGATACTAAAATAAAACAAAATTAAACGTTAAATATAGTTTTAAAAAAATTAAAAATTTAGATACTAAAATAGATTAAAATTAATAGACTAAATACTAAATGCGTGATTTATCCAATTAATAAAGAATAGTGCAAAGGACAAAATAATAGTAAAACATGAGAAGAAGGTTGAAATTAAAATAATGTAAAATGAAAGTGAAACAAAATCCAGTTGGATAGCTTAATGAAGTAATAACCAGATAAAAAAAAGGAAATGAAAAAAAGTGATAAATTATGCATTTGATATCTAAATTATCAGTTTTAATTCATTTTAGTTCTAAAATTTAATTGTTGTTTTATTTTAGTATCGATCATTTAAAACTTTAGTTTTTATTTTATTTTAGTATCAATTTAAAATTTAACGTTAAGTTTTGAAAATGTTAAAAGTTTAGGTATTAAAATGGACTAAAACGATAATTTAGATACTAAACACATTAAATTTTTAACAGTAAAATACTAAAATAAACTGAAAACTGGACATTAATATAATTTTAAAAAATTAATAATTTAAATACTACATACAAAGGCTGATAATTTAAATACAAATTGCGTAATTTATAAAAAAAAGGCATTGGCGTGAAAGCCAAGTCTTCATTTTTTTTATTATGAAAAGAGCGATAGTAAATGCATTTTGTTGGTTTTCTCATCAATCAAGAAAAAAAAAACAATAAAGAAAACAAAAAAAGTTGAAGGGGGAAAAAGATGAAGTAAATGCAGAATGGATGATTGGCACCCACTGATTTCCCCAAAGATATTTATTCCCTTTTGTTGTAAAAATTAGGGTTCTCCCTTTTCTGCGTATGACTTAAAAACACTTGTTTCTCTGGGGCAATTTGAGGAAGAAGATGATTATGAGTTGGAGGAGAGTTTTGAAGTCAGCTCAGGCTTTGGCAGCGCATACCCTGCTTTTCTGCTTCACGCTCCTCCTCCTCCTTAAGCTGGATCATGTCGTTTCTTACTCTTGGTGGTCAGTTCATCTCTCTCTCTCTCTTTACATTTTTGGGTTTCAGTTCGTTTTTGGTTGAATTCGCTTCTCAATTTCAACCTTTTTCTTTCTTTCCATTTTTAAATTTGAAAGAAATCAAGGTCCTCCCTACAAGTTACTACAGAAATTGTTTCATTGTTATTGTTTGTGAATTTTTGGGTCTATGTGGACTAATTGAAGTTTAAATGATTTTTTTACCAACGCTTTCTGTTGCTGAAGAAAAGCTCATCTCTTTTTCTGTTTTAATTTTCTGTTTTTTTTGGGGAGAAAGTGTTTTGGCTTGTAAAGTTTGTTAGAAAAGGGAAAGAAATTGTCGTCAAAGATGTTTCTTTTTCTTTTTTGGTGATTTAAAATTGATAGGTTTGTGCTACAGTTTTGATAAATTTATGATTTTGCAGTCAACATAAAACGTGAAACATATAAAGTTTTCTTTTTCAATCTGTAACTGGGTACGTTTGGATGAGTGCAATTATTTGAGATAATACTTATGCCAAATCTTTTACATCAACTCGAAGATGCAAAGGGATTGATGGTTCATGTAAAAAACCAAAGCCGTAAGACTTGGTGATTAATACTACAAAGTAACTTGGAACCAATGGAGGTTACACGATGGGTATCTTCTCAATTCACAGTTAGCATTGTTCTTATAGAGTGAGGAGCGGATTTTTTCATGAGTGAAACATATTCATTTTCTTCAAGAGTGGTTGTTTTGAAGTGAGGGGAACACAAGTTGCTTGAATATGCAGTTCTATAGGCTGCGTTTTCAATTTAAATGCCCATAGATATCTCTCTGACCCCGGGATTATGAGATTTTAGCTTTTAGCATTCTAATTCTTTCAATGATTTTAGGTTTTAATCGCATTGTTTAATGGTTTTTGATTGCAGGACAATATTTTTCCCACTTTGGATGTTTCATGGAGTTGTTGCACGAGGAAGGTTTTCCTTACCTGCCCCGTCAGTTCCACATAATCGTCAAGTATGTTTATCTGTTACCATGGCCATCATTTTACTTGAATTAAGTATTGACTAACTGAAGCATAAATTCTCTATTTGGGGCCTTCTGGTTGTGGATGTTTCAGATTCATAATAAAGTTTTATAACCATTATTATTTTATTTTTTCTTGGACAGTGGGCACCATGTCATGCCATTGTTGCGACACCACTACTAATTGCTTTTGAGCTGCTTCTCTGTATATATCTTGAGAGTGTAGATGGTATAGAATCAACTTTCTTTTCCTTGTTTTCATGTTACGGGGTTTGAATTCTTTCATCTCTTAGTTGGGCCACTCCTATGATCAATGCTTCAAATTTTTAGTTGTAGTTGAAGTAAAAACAGTAAACCTATGTTGCTCTAGTTCTTTACTTCAAGTACTAATGTACTTCTGACCGTGTCCGACACATATACAAGTATTGTGATATTGCCCTTTAAGGACCCACCTAATACATGAGAAAAATTTGGAAAGAAAAATTGAACACACATGTTCCATACACATACTTGCACTGATACCCTAGTCTCAGTAACATAGCGGTGAACTATTTTAGTGTTCACATTATTTTTTATGGGCATGTTGGTGAATTTTATTTATTCTTTTGTCACAGTTTATGGTTTTGCTGCTGTAAACTTGAAGGTCGTCTTCCTTCCACTATTGGCGTTTGAAATAATTATTCTAGTTGACAATTTCAGGTAATTTAAATCTAAAAACTAATGTTAAACTTTCCATTCATCATCTGTTAAGATAATATAAATTGCTTACTCAATAGAACAATATTCTAATACTTTCTTTGCATTTTCTCACTGATGGGAATATAGGCTCTGATAAATTGTTTGCGAACGGGGGTTGTTTCAGATGGTGTTCTCTATATGTTTATTTGTAGCAAATTGGGCACACCAATTTGTAATTTTCGATTGTTTTCTCCTTAAGACTTTATTTGGGCATTTAGGATTTGTCCGATATGTGGCTTCACTCATTTTTCCAGCAACAATGCTTAAGGACATGTTCCATGTTATTAGACTTGCTTATTTTAAAACTTGAATGCATGTTAGGAAATGAAGACATCCGAGGTTTTCTTGTAATATTATACTATTTGGTTTTATTTAGGGATAAATGATAGGAGTAGAAGGACAGTGTTATCATCTTATAAGTCATGGACGAATATCCACATTCACCTTTACCTTTCTGGGTATTGTAATCATGGGAATGAGTGGGCTGTTAGAATGCTCTGTTTCATTCCTTCCTCTTACTTGCAGTAACTAAATACCTTAGGCAGGATGATGGCTTCTAATGAAGACTTTTCAAAAGTAAAGAAAGAATATTGTGTTAGCTCAACTGCTAAACTAAGCTATAGGGCGAGAAAGTAAACTTCATGTTATGGATCAATATATAAATTTGGGTTAGACTACCCTCCCAAAAAAATTGCTTCATCCATAAGTAATGTCTGATGAACTTTGTCTTGTTAGTCAGGTAGAGATTATGATAGCCAATCCAGAAACTATCTTGTAATATTGACAAATGGTTGATAATTTCCCCAGAGTTATACAAGGAAGAAGATTAACCAATCCATTAACGGTTTATTGTGGGCATCTCTGCTTTCATCATTTTGATATGTTATCTAAGGACCAAAAAGTTTAATATGTTATGATGAGTAGGGATGAAGCCTGCCGAACTGAATTGTTTGTTCCATCCCTGCTAGAATGAGTGCATTATATTTCAAAGAAAACATAAAAGCAAGACAAGCATAAGTTTCTGGTGGCTTTGTGACTTCTGAATGATTGGATTTAGCTTGTTACTTCGCTTTTATTTTTTCCTTTCTGGTAACAAGTTCAATGTAGGATGTGATTTCTTAGGTAGGTGTCTTGGAAATATATCAGATTTGATTTTCTCCTTCTCTTTGTTATGCTTCTTACTTTACTGTTGCATGGTAGAAATTTGGATTAGGATAAATAAGCTTCAGCTAAATTATTGAAATTCTGAGATGTTTTTTCCCTATCTTTTCCTTCTTTCCTAGTAATTCAATTTTCTTGTAGGTTCTAAGCAGCTATTATAGTTATTGATTTCATTTTCTTCTTCAGAATGTGTAGAGCTCTAATGCCCGGAGATGATGAAAGCATTAGTGATGAAGCAGTATGGGAGACTCTACCTGTAAGTTCTACTGAACCTATCAATTTGATGGTCCTAACTTTTAGGTGTTGTTTTACGGAAATACATATTAATCTAAGAGAACTTAGATTCAAAATTTGATGATTTTCTTCAAATATTTTAGTATGTGTTTGATTTGAACCTTGAGCACTTTCAAGTTTCAACTTAACCATGAAATTTAGAAACTTGGTTCTTGTAATGAAATTTTTATTGTTATTTGGGATGTAAACCTCTCAAGTACATATACAATTTGACTTTAAATCAACGCTTATTTCAATTTGTAGCACTTCTGGGTTGCAATTTCAATGGTCTTTTTTGTTGCTGCTACTGTATTCACCCTTCTGAAGTTATGCGGTAATTTCTTTACTCAACTAAGTATAATATAATATGGAGTTACAAAGTAGGGATATTATTTTTTTCTACATAGGCTTTTTATTGTAGTTCCTATCCAGTTATCTATGTCATTCCACAAAGACATATCAATCTTGTATGGGCACATTGATACATTACTTGGTAATTGGTACCGTTTTCTGATACTTTGAAGGTCTCTGGATTTGTGAAATTCAAGTGGCTCATGACTGCTACCAGTTAAACCAGGGTGCTCTGTGGTTTCAGTTTCTTATAAAAGAAAAAGAATACAAAACATTTCGTCCTGGAGTTTTCAGAAGCTTGAATTTTTTCTCCCTTTGTAGATTGGATAGAGTATTCTTGCTTGAAACCAAATGAAATTCCCAATCCTGTAAGGCATTTTGCTGCAGACATCAGTAGTGTGTTTTTCAGTTCCTGAAGCTGTTAATTTTGATGCTTTCATGAAGAGCTAGTTTACTGTGTTGTCAGTTGTCACCTTAGGAGTCATTTAGTCCATTATTATCCTTATTATTTAAGTTTTAGATGTCCCTCTCCCTGGGTTGGTGTTATTTGGCACTTCAAATGATTATCAGTGATTTATGGAATCTTTTTAGTGTTTATGGGAAAGTTCTTAAGGTGTTCATTCCTCTTATTAATAACAGACCGAAGTATAAGGTTAGTACGTTTGCTTTTGTCCACTTCGTTTGTAAGGAGGATCTGTGTAATGCAGTGGAAAATATGAACAATGTCCTGTTTGATGGAAGGAGAATCTCAGTGTCTGTAGCTAAGTATCAGAAAGCCTCTCCGTTGAGGAGGCAGGTAGATGAGAGGTTGGAGGGTTCATCTAGTGGTGCTTCAATAAGGAAAAATGTGGGAAGAGTGTTATCTAATACTGAAAGGGCTAGGAAGATGGAGTTGATGAGTAGGTTTTATGATGGTAGGACCTTTAAGGATATGGTTGTTGGGGTGAACAAGGTTCCAGAGGTTGTCAAGAAGGGCAATTTTTTACCTGTGGAGGAGAGGAGAAAACCTATGGATGTTTTTATTCCGGTGGATGATAGGGTCTGGTTGAGATCGTCTCTTACCGGGATTTGCAAAGCAATATTTGAAGTAGATTTGTGCAGAAAGCGTTAAGAAATGAGGGCTTCAATGCTAAGGTTGTTAGATGGGGCTTTGCAAAAAATGCTTGCCTGGTTGTTTTCCAGTCGGCGGAGGAAAAAAAGAGGGTGACGGAAGAAAACTGGGAAGCTCTATCTTTCTGGTTTGAGACTTTGGAACCTGTTTTGGATGAGGGTGGCATTCCCCTACCTTTTTGTATGGTTTCTATTATTGGAGTTCCATTAAATTGCTGGTCCGTTCCTTTCTTTACTAGTTTGGCCTCTAGGTGGGGGGAGTTAGTGAAGATCAAAGACGAAACTGCCCAAAGAGTGGACTGCAGGTGGCGCAATTGCTGCTTAGGGTCGTCAGTCCTTTTGACATCCCTGAGCATATGAGCGTGAATACTTATGGGAGGAAATTCCTGATCAAAATTAAGGTGGAATGTGCTGATGAATTTTTTCCTGAGTTATCAGGATTGGTGGAAGAGGATGTTCCAGGGGCGGGGAGTTCCTCTAAGCACAGTCAAGAGGATGTTCAGGTGCAGAATGATCGGCACATGGGTTGTCAGGACAAGTCAGGAGCTCATTCTAGGCTTTTGGAATGGGTCCAAGGCTCCCACCATGACAATGTCTCGGGGAATGAAAAAGGATTCAATTGGTGTTCAAATTCAATAATTAATTATTCGGTGGACAAGTGTAGAGGAGTGGAAGATGCAGGAGTTGTCTCCACCCAGCATGGAAAGTCGGAAGGCTTTATTGGAGGAATAGAAAGTGGAATGAGTATGGGGGTGATTCTTTTGAGCATGATAAAGTTGACTGGGAGAATGGGCTTCGGATAGGTACATCAAGTCCAGTGTTGAGTGGTCTGGACCCAGATTTTGGTCAAAAATTCTTTTCTGCTGCAGATAATATTAACGATTCAGCTGGGCTTGAAGATGGTATGGGGTCTGTTAAAGTGGTTAAGGTGGTTAGTTCAATAGTTGGTTCACAGCCTCGGTCTGCAAGTTCTGTGAAGTCCGGCCCGGTTCGCAGGAAGTTAGTTAGAAGTTTCAAGAGGTTTTACTGCTGGTCTAAGAGAAGAAAGTTGTGATTAAAGACGTGCAGGCTTGTAAGAAGGGTTCTCGAGGGGAGTCCAGCAAGAAGTTAAGTAGGGCTGCAAGTTCTAAGGGTGGTAATTCTGAAATTCCAGTAGCTGCTGGTTTTTCGGAAAGGGTCAATGGTGGTCCAAGGATGAGGAGTCTTAATAGGAGATTTAGAAGATCACTCTTTAGGGAAGCTGTTGAACATGCCAGTGTGTCCACATTATCCTCATCAGCTTTTCCTGTGCTGTTGGTCGAAGCTGTTGCTACATGGGAAATCAGTAAGATTTTGGGTGTATCTTTCAAGGAAGGGAAGGATGCTTTTTTACAAAAGATTATGGACTTGGAAAAAGGCTCGAGTGCGGTCAGCTGAGGTCGGGGGCAATTCATAGGATTTTCTGGGTTTGTCATATAAGTTTAGAATGCAAAGGCTTATTATTTTGTCTTGGAACGTTAGGGGGTTGGGTAAAAAAGAAAAGCAGAGAGTTGTTCAGAAATTAGTCTCTGAGAAAAAACAATCTTTTCTTTTTCTTCAAGAAACAAAACTTGAGAATTTACCATTCGCTTTTTTAAGGAGTGAATTGAATATGTTGCAAGGCTTTGTTGTGTCTCCAGCAGAAGGTTCTTCAGGAGGTATTTTTAGTTGTTGGGATGAGACTATTTTTGTGTTAGAAGAACATCATATTCATAAGAGGTTTATAGCAGTGTTCGGGAAATTTAAGTCCAGCCAACTTAAATGTGGGTTTATAAACGTCTATGGTCCTTCTGTGGAAGAAGAGAAGGCACGATTTTTTGAAGAACTGGGACTGTTCATTAATGGGTCCAATGTCCCTTTGTGTGGGAGGAGATTTCAATGCCTACTTAATAGAGGATGAGAAGGATGGTATGGCTCAAAACAGGATTTCGATGGAAATTTTTAGGCTCTTTATTCAGCAAACAGGACTTATTGATTTGCCTTTAATCGGGGGAAAATTTACATGGAGCAGCAATCAAGATGTTCCAACTGTTGTTAAACTAGATAGGTTCCTGGTTAATGTCAGTTTCTCAGAAGAATTTTAATGTATCAACCAATTTTTACTGCCAAAGTCTATCTCGAATCATAATGCTATTGTTCTTGAGAGTGGGGAAGATAATTGGGGGAAGAGGCCTTTTAGATTGTTCAATTATTTAATGTTTGAGGATGGTTTTGAAGAGAAGGTTGTTGAGTCTATTAAGGAGTTCAAGGAGGAGAAGAAAAAAGTTGGAATTTTGAGCATTCTAAGGAATACAAAGTCAGCCATTAAGAGCTGGTCTGGGAATAAGAAACAGTTTCCACGGATGGATATTGCTGCTCTGGAAGATAAAATTGAACAGTTTGAATTGAGGTTGCAGCAAAATCAGAGTGCCAATGTAGATGACAATGCGTCAGAGTTGAGGAAAATGAGAAATGAACTGTGGAGACTTTACAGAGTTGAGGAGCAAATTTGGTTTCAAAATTCAAGAGAAAAGTGGTGAAAGAAGGAGACCGGAATTCTAAATTTTTTCACACAAGTGCTTCCATTAGGAGGAGGATGAATTCTATGAATGCAATTCACGTTGATGGTAAAATTATCAAAGATCCGGTTATTATAAAGGCTACTGTCAGAGAGCATTTTTTTAAAGCTTTTAATCATCGTTCTACCTTGGAAGTGGAGGATATTAATTTGAACTTTTCAAGAATTTCTCTGGAGCAGAGTCTGTTGTTAGAGGAGTTTACGGAAGAAGAGATTTGGGATACCATAAACTCGTGTGATAGTAACAAAGCTCCTGGGCCAGATGGGTTGAATATGGGTTTTTTCAAAAAATTCTGGCCTTACTTGAAAAGTGATATTCTGAAGTTTTTTCATAATTTTTTTTGGGAAAGGAGTGGGAGAATGGCATTAATCATTCTTTCATTTCCTTAATCCCGAAGGGTTCTAATATTGGGGGTTTGGATGATTTCAGACCTATTTCTCTAGTAGAAGGGATGTACAAGATTCTTTCCAAGTGTCTATCGAGAAGATTGAGAGGTTGCATCAAGATATTATCAGTGACTCACAATTTGCTTTTATTCCGGGTCGACAAATTTTGGATTGTTCTTTTATTGCTAATGAAGGTATCGACTTTTGGAGGAAGAAAGGTTTGAAGGGTTGTGTCTTTAAGGTGGATTTTAAGAAGGCTTATGATACGGTAGATTGGGACATTCTCTTTAAAGTTTTGGATAAAATGGGTTTCGGATCAAAATGGTGTAGCTGGATTCGGACTTGTGTCACTACAGCTTCGATGTCAGTGCTGGTTAATGGTGTTCCTACGGATGAATTTTCGTTGTCTAGAGGTCTTAGACAGGGTTGTTCCCTCTCCCCATTGTTGTTCAATCTTGTTGGCGAATTGCTTAATCTTCTGATTATCCAAGCAGTCCAGTCAGGCCTGTTTTGTGGCCTGACAGTTGGCAAAGACGAGAATGTTGTGAATTTGTCTCATCTGCAATTTGCAGAAGATCTCATCATCTTCTGCAATGCATCGAAGACTCAGATTCTTAATGTTAAGAGGGTTCTTCGAGTTTTTGAAGTTATGTCAGGCCTTAAATTGAATCTCACTAAGAGTAAATTATTTGGGATTAACATTACTGAGGAAGTGGTTACTCAGTGGGCTAATGCTATAGTTGTTTAATAGGTCATTTCCTGTCGGAATATTTGGGGCTTCCTCTTGGCGCTAAGCGAAATTCGCAGCAGATGTGGGATCCGGTAGTGTAGAAGTTTTACAACAAATAAACAGGCTGGAAGGCTAAGACACTGTCTATGGCAGGCAGATTGGTTTTATTGAAGGCAGTTTTGTGTTCTTTACCAACCTACTATATGTCCTTGTTCAAGATTCCTGTTTCGGTTTATGATAAACTCACTATCATGGCTAGATTTTTATGGGGAGGGGTTGAGGTCAAAAAAATTCATTGGTTAATTGGTCAACAGTTTGCTCGGATAAACGGGTGGGTGGTCTTGGTGTTGTGGATCTTAATTATATGAATAGAGCTCTACTTGGGAAATGGAGTTGGAGGTTTGCTAATGACTGCGATTCAGTGTGGAAAAAGGTAATCTGCAGTAAATATAATTTGGACTCTAGTTTTTTGTCGTTCAATGAAAAACTACCTGCTAATGCTTCTTGGATCTGGAAATCGATGGTCATAACCATTTCAATGAGGATCAATTTGGAACTAAGTTTCGAAGTTTGTTTAATGTTAGGGTGGGGAATGGTGGGAGTATCAGATTTTGGTTTGATAGTTGGGCGCTTGATTCCCCTCTTAAAGTGGTTTTCCAAAGATTATTTGCTCTTTCGATAAACAAAAATGGGAAGCTTAATGAGTTTGGGGAGTTTCGATCTTCAGATTGGGTTTGGCATATTCAATTGAGAAGGAATTTAAGTGAATGGGAATTGGATCAGTTTGTTGAGTTAATGGCTGTAATCCACAATTTCACACTTAATAGTGAGATGTCAGATGGTCTGGTATGGAGAGGGAATGGGGAAGGAATTTTTTCTGTTAATTTGTGTTTGAAGTCTTGCTGCCCTTTTTTACAGTAGATTCTTTTTGGATGAAGCACATTTGGAGGGGTTTGGTGCCTCCTAGAGTGGAGATCTTCATGTGGCAGGTGGTGTATCAAAGGTTGCCAGTAAAACTTGAATTACAGAAGAGAGGAGTTTCAGCAATTGTTGATGTTGCTTGTCCATTATGTAAGAAGGTGGATGAATCCTCTTCTCATTTATTTTTTACTTGCTCGGTCGCGTGGTCTGTATGGAATAATTTTTTGAGATTTTGGGGAGTTTGTTCAGCTTTTCAAGCTGATGCTAAAAGTTTTTTGTTAGCTTGGGGAGATTTGGTGCCTAATTCTATAATTTGGACCTTCATTCCGGGAGTGGTGTTTTGGACAATCTGGAAATGTAGGAATGCGATTGTGTTTGATAAGGGGAGTTTAGATCAGATTGATATTTTCTTTATGGCAAGATGTAGGCTGGCTGCATGGTTCTTAGCTGTCTATTCTAAAGGACTGTCTTATATGTGATCCATCACTTGGGGATTGTTGCGCTATTTATAGATCTTCAATCATTAAATTAAGGCCTGGACTCTTCCTCCAAAGGGCTATATAAAATTGAATGTGGATGCAGCTGTTACTGCAGATTGGAGGAAAAGTGGAGTTGGGGGAATTCTTAGAGTGGAGAATGGCTCGGTGGTGGGTTCTTTTCAAGAGGCTTCTGGTCCGGGTCCTCCCATTTTGATAGAGCTAACGGCAATTAAGAAGGGCTTGATTTTCTTTGCTTCAATCCAGCGGCGGTTTGAGGATCGCTTGATTGTTGAATCCGATAGTAAAATTGCGGTGGACTGGATCAAGAACTATGATAGATGTCCCAATGTATATGTAGACCTTGTGAAAGAAATAATTACTAAGTTAAGAGGTTTGGAGGGCATTATTAGATGGGTTGCTAGGTCAGCTAATGTTGAGGCTGATGCTTTAGCAAAGGCTGGTATTGGATAGCTTTAAAGTCTTTTGGTTCTGTTCGTTCTGTTATTTTTTATGCTATTGGTTGGTGTGTATAGGGAGTCTATATGATTGTTCCCTAAGTATTATGTAATTTATGTGTTTTAATGAATTATATGGCACTCTTTTCCTCCTTCCGCTGATTAAGGAGCACTTTATGATCCATTAATCATGAAGGGGGGTTTTTAACGAGGCCTGCCATTCCTATCAAAAAAAAAATCCTAATTGTAATTTACTTGTACTTTATGATTGAATTTTATCTTCTTAGAAGATAAGATTTTAGGAGATAAAGGTTTGGAGAAAGATACATAGTTGAACTTTACTTTTTGTAATTCTCAGCCTATAAAACCAGGCTGTTTTTTTTTTCAGCAAGCAAGCAATTGAAGCAGAACTTAGGTGCTTCAGTTTCTATCTTTTTCTTTTAAAAATATTTTTGTTAATGACCATTGGAAGATTGCTTGCTAACGTGCATTTTGATTTTTCTGCACTTCTTTAGGCAGTAAATTGATTCATCTAACTTTAGTTATGGTTAAAATTTCCATGTTTACGATTATTGTTTTCCTGTACGTGTATTTCAGGTGATGTAGGTTCTCTTGGCTGGTGGGACTTGTTCATAAATTTTTGGTAAAACTTTGCTGCTTTACTTTTGTTGATTTTTATTTTTTTAGGTTTCCTGGAAATAGCACCATAATAATCTATCTGGGTTGAGTGGCTAGAAAAATCTGATAACTGCTAATACATTTTTTCATGCAGTATTGCTGAGTGCTTTTCTTTTCTTGTGTGTACAAAGTGGTCTAATCCCGAAATTCATAGAAATTCCCCAGCAATAGAAGCTGGTCCATCTACTGCAACTATCAGATATCTTGACTGGAACAGTGGCTTTGTAGTTGCTCCTGAGGAAGACCAGCAGCAGGATACTCTGTGTGGCCTGCAAGAGTTTGGTGGTCACCTCATGAAAATTCCAATAATTGGTTTCCAAGTTCTTCTCTGCATGCATTTAGAGGTATGCATATTATTGGTGTATTGAGTGTCATTGTGGTATGTTGTCATCGATTCTATGATTGTTGCAAATTTCAGGGAACACCTTCTGGTGCTAGAGATATACCACTTCCAGTTTTGTTCTCTCCTCTTTTCCTATTGCAAGGGCTTGGTGTGCTCTTTAGCGCTTCAATGTTAATAGAGAAAATTGTCCTTTTACTACGGAGTGGGGCTGGCACAGGATTGTACTTCAGATTTTCATCCAGAGCCCATGATTGCATGGGATTCTTTCACCATGGTTCTAGGTACTGGCAAATTAGTTTGTAGCTAGGCTGAAAATTTTGTTAGGCTAGATTGTGTGGTTCATGAATTGAGACAACTGATTCTCTATCTATCTCTAAAATCAGGTTATTAGGTTGGTGGTCAATTGATGAAGGAAGTAGAGAGGAACAAGCTCGACTTTATCATGATGGGCCGTCTGGGTTAGTATAGTTTTAGCATCTTTCAACCTTTTATAGATGCACTGCTTTTATAGTTTTTCTTTCGACTTGCTTTTGGTTCACTCCACATCTTCCAGTGGTGCATGCCTGGATGTGTGGAAAAAATGTGAATCATGTTTCATAATATCGAAGAAGGTAAAATTGATAAGAAAAACATTGATAGACTATACTAATAATTAATAAATGTGAATATGTTCTGTGCTACTTATTTATGCCTTGTAATGAAGTTTGATTGTATTGATGTGAACTGTTTCTAATGCCTAAAGAAAATATAAAATATCACAGAAAAAATATGGAGCACTGAAGATGTAAGATTTTAGGTGTTCAAAATGAGAAAGATGATTCAAGTTTTTAGACATCTCTTAAAGGAAAGGTGATGATCAAAATTTGATAGGAGCAACTGCTTAGTGGATGTCGGTGGATCACTTATGAATATTTTATTCTGCTCTATTCAACTTAAAATCTCACTACCCAAATGATTTATGAAGAAGACATCACAAGGTAATACATGCCTAGTAATGGGGCTTTAGTCAGGTGGATTTTTTTATCAATTCATATCCACACTGTTTATGTCTACTTAAAAGTGTTCATCCATTTATCAGCTAATGTTAACAAAGGTGAAATAATAGATGGGTTGGATTTAGTGTGTTATTTGGTTAAGTTTGAGATTTTGAACATATTGAAAAACTGAACCATATAGAAAAGAGTAACATATTTGGTTATTTTGTGATGCAGGTTTGAGTGTGTTTTGCACCTTGATTGGGAAGCAAATGTGATACAAGAAACTGTTCATTTTGTTAAAAAAAATTAATATTTTGCTTTTGGGTTGTGGAGGTTGCAAAACTCACTTATGGTTTCGAAAAACTAAAACTCTAGAATATACTGTGCAAGAGAACGGTATGGGTGATTTAATTGCATGATGTCGCAAAATTTTCAGTTACTGGTGTTCACGGATGTTATTTCTTTTTTTTCCATTTTCAACTGAACATGTAATTTGGTTGCTTCCTTGAGTTTACTCAGATAATCAAGCTGTTGAATTATTCTTTACACTCTCACTAACCTTTATTCCTAACTTTTTAATTCGACTTCTCCATGTAGGTATAACACCTTCTCTGGTTATCCACCTGAGATAGTTAAGAAAATGCCTAAAAAGGATCTAGCTGAGGAGGTGATTATGGTTCTTCTAACATTCCTTTCTGTTTTTTGATTTGATTACTGCATCTCTTTTCTTGTACCTTGTACTTTGTACCACATTTTGTTTTATGGTTTCACTTTTCGCATCATCTCAGTGCAATATATTTGCAGTTACAAGAATTTTAATGATCCTGTTCTTGCATTTACATATAATTTATATGGTTTCTTTCATCTCAGGTTTGGAGACTTCAGGCAGCTCTCGGCGAGCAATCAGAAATCACCAAATACAGTCAGCAAGAGTTTGAGAGACTTCAAAATGTAATTTTTCAACTTTACCAATGTGGCTTTGTGGTGTGAAATAATTAATTTTCATACTCTTGGTTAAGATCCTAATGAAGCTGGATTGAGATATGTTATTTGTTCTCTGTTGACAATCATGTGCATTCAATGTACTGTACAGGAGAAAGTGTTATGTAGGGTTTGCTTCGAGAGAGAGATCAGCGTGGTTTTGCTCCCTTGTAGGCATCGTATTCTTTGCAGGTATAATCATTCTTTTGATGCAATTGCATTTTCAGACGTATCCCAATGCCAGTTCAATCCTCTCTGCTGTTATGCTCACGAGTTCCTTTCAATTGCAGTACCTGCTGCGAGAAGTGTAGAAAATGCCCTATCTGTCGTGTCACCATCGAGGAACGCTTACCTGTATATGATGTTTAATTTCTAACTTGGCAAGTTCTCCGTAGAAATGAGGTGCAAAGCAAACCTCAAGTAACTTGACAGGTCGGATGTTTTTTATGAAGTTTTCACATTAGAGAGTGCTGCTGCTTTGAATCGACATTAGCTAGTACAACGATATAGAATACACATGTATAACTACAAAAAAAGAAAAGAAAAAGAACTCCTATATGTTATAATTATCATAGGAAATGTAAAATATAGTTTCTTGATAGGAATGGTTTTCTGAAATGGGATTGTAAGGTTTTGATAGCTTGTTAACTCATAAAGTAGTGCAGAATGATACGTTTCGGTCCTTTTCCTCTGCTATATTGTACAATGAGTAATAATTAATACCACTCTCTAGTGTATTTCATTTACTCCTTTTGTTAGTTTTTGCACAATTTTCTGAAGTAAACATATCAAATTAACCTTTTTGTCTTATTATGGTTGAATATGTAATTTTGTGAAATTGCATGTCAAAATTTAGAAGCCTCAAATATGGAATATAATTTTGTCCCATTGGAGTATAATGTAAGCTCCATTAGTATCAACAGTTTTTAAGTGTGTATTAGGCTCACAACACACAGAGACAATTGTTGACTTAAGATTCTGCAAAATTCTTTCCACCCAGATGTTGTCCATGGTTTCACCAAATGCATCTCTGGTCATAAGGATTTCCTTTTCATGTTGAGCAAATAGGTTTATTCCAGAACTAGGGGTGCTTGTCGAGCCACTCGATCACGAGTTGAGTAGTGGTCATGTTCGTTAAAAGAAATTGTTGTTCAATTCGATTTGACTCGTTGTTCGTTCGACTTGACTCATTGTTCGTTGAACTGAAAACTTCTACTTTTTTTAATTATATTTAAAATCTAGTAAATTAATAATTATTGATAATATAATGTAAGCTCCATTGACGATTGTGATATGGTAATCTTTGAAAAGTCAACTTCTTTTCTAAATTGAGTGAAAATGAGTTGGGTTGATTTAAAAGTATTAATTTATTACTTAAATTTTATTCATTTTTTAAAGTAAAGTTGATTTAATTTTTTTATTAAAATTTAAATGTTATGATATTGATTGGTTTAAATTTAAAACATTGTTTTTAATGAATGAACTAAAGTGGTTTTTGTGGTAAAAGAATTTTTATTATTCCTTGGGAACCCGAGTTCGAGCACTATAGATGTCAGGGGTTTGAGCGGATGTCGAAAGGTTGAGAGTTATCATTGAACATATACTGTCATGTATTTACCCTAGATTATTCAAAAAAAATTCTTTCTAATCATATTGATATATATTTACGTCTGTAAGGATAATTTGTAATATTATTTAATAAATTAAATATCATAAATTATATAATATATTTATAATATTAATATTTTAAAAAAACTTGAGGATAAAATATCGAAGAAAGTAAAATATATTGATGGTAGAAATTTTTAAGGAGTTGTAATCGAACTATTATATTAAATAAAATAAAATTAGAAGACTAAATTATGAGATGGAATTAAAGTTATTATTTTATATAGATTTAAATTTAATTGGAAATAAACTTGAAATAAAAGATAAGTTGAAGAAACAATGATTAAACAAAAAGTAATCAAATTACTTAGCTTAAAATCAGAATAATATTATTAAAAAAACCTTATGGGCCAAAACCAGTAAAAAAAACTCAACAGTCCCAATGGAGACAACAAGAACATAGTATTGCACCACCAACATCAACATTATGGAAATGTGTAGGATTTGATGTTAGGAGACGAATTTGAATTTATAAAATTTTAGAGAGATAAAAACATGTTTTAAGTAGAAAATATATAAAAAAATCTAAAATATTCGATAATTTTAAATTTTTAAGAGATGACAGTTGCCCCTACTTACCCCCTCGAACCATCCCTGGCCAAGACCAAGCCTCAACTTACATGATTCAAAGCCAATGCTATATCATCAGAGATAATCATGTCACACCCAAAAGCTCAACCCATTTATACAATTCTACACTCTTTTTTTCGCTTCTCCATGTGAAAAACAGATTACATTAAATCCAATTTTTTTATTAATATATTCATATGTAGTGATAAAAAAATCATGAAATTTGAGGTTTAAAATGATATTAATAAACATTGATTTGGAGTAGACAAAGCTCCATCAATTTTAAGTCATAGTAGGGAATCCCATACACCGTTATTGTTGTAATACAAGGCTAAATTCTTTGAAAACGTATTTGAGAAAAGATAACAAACTTTAGATGTCAAGATGCATACAAACTTATCTGCTGCACCCAAATATACCAAAATTTTGTCAAATATTTGAGACAAAGCTCGGCTAACGTAATATATATGCAGTTTTCACTGGTCCATTTCTTCACTCAAGAACTCTTCATGATCATGTCGTCCACACGTGCTTCCATGTTCTTTCCAATCTGGTTTCTGAAGATTTTGTTGACGAGACGTTGAAATATGGCTTCAACAGTCTTCAACTCGATAGGCACGACTTTGTAGCAAAACAAGACTATCGGAAATTTTCTCCTATTCTCGAGGATCCATTTGAATCTGGTTGTAGCCGGAGAAAGCGTCCATGAAGCTCGTATATTTGTGACCTGCTGCGGAATCCACTAGCCTGTCAGTGGAGGGGGAGTTTGAGACACATTTTGTAGAGGTTTGTGGAGTTGATGCACATCCTCCAACTACCATTCGCTTTCTTGACCATAACAACGTGAGATCCAGTCCGGATATAACACTTGTTTGATGAAGTCCACCGTATAGCACGTTGGATCTTCTCCATGGCCAATCTTGAGAGAAGGACGACTGTTGGCCGACATTTTTCTGGTGAGAGAGGAGGTAGTGTCAAGAGAAAGGAACGGGATGCGTATGAAGTCTGAAGGAGAGGAGAGAGATCCCATCTTACAAATACTCTAGTTACAGGACTATTGATGCCAGACCTCCATGGTATGTTTATAGTAATTTATTCGAGAGTTTATCAGAGATCATCATCTACCGAGTACAAGACAGTAAATAAACAATAAATAGAAATGCAGTTTTCGAGAAATTTTAAGATACATCTTCGGAGATGTTCAAGTATTCTATTATAATTAATTGAGCATGATCATAAAATCTTACCTCTTTCGTAATATTTATCTCGAGAAAAAATTTATCAAGTCAGTTATAAAATCCATTTTGACTTGCCCGTAATAGCACCTCACAAGGAAAAGTTTTATTTCAAATTTTATGCATTTAAAAATTTTATATTCCGAACATGATTAAGATTTACCTCATCTTAGAACATATGTTTTAGAGAAAAAATAAGAAAAAAAACCCAATTTCGTTATAAAGTTCATTTTGACCAGATTTAAAAAAAAGTACTTAATATACTCTTAGGTGTCTAAATTATACCTTAAATTGTTTTTTAGTGTCTAAAGAATTTTTTATTAAAAGTAGATGCATAATATTTTTCCGTTACATTTTCAGGTACCTACCGTCAAAAGAAATCGTTAAGTGACATGTTTCATGTCCAAAATTTTTAAAATAATATTTTATTTTAAAAAATAAAAAAATATAAATATGACAAGTGTCGGTTAATAGTTTTTTAATGGTATGATCCTAAAAATGTAACAGAGAAAACATTGGACACCTATTTTATTGAAAAATTCTTTAGGCATTAAAAGTCAATTTAAAATATATTTGAGTACGATCTTTTTTTAATATACTTCTAAACTATTATCTCATTCTACAACATGTATAATTCTAGGATGCAACAACCTAATATAAGGCTAAGAAAAAACGCGACCTAAAATATTATAAATATCATAACATTTTCGATTTAACCGAAAATATTATGAAATAGATAATATTTTCGGTTGCAACCTAAAATGTTATGAAGAATGTTTGCAACAAAAAAAATTAAGAAAACCATAACATTTTAGGTTACGCGTAATCTAAAATAATACATTTATTTATAACATTTTAGGTCGCATATTTTCTCAACCTTATAATAGGTTGTTGCACCCTAGAATTTCCCCTACAACATATAATTTAGAAAGTACAAAATTTAACGGATCCATTGTGAAGCTCATTTTAAAATGCCTATATTTAAGGGTGAACGTTCGATCGAGTCGGGTCAAAAAATTTTGAGTTATTCGATTTAACGAGTCATATTTTACAACTCGGACTTGATTTGAAATTCTTTCGAGTCGAGTTAATTTTTTGAGTTTATGTTTAAATTTAATTATAAATATTTATAATATTATAATATTATTTGATTCCAATTTAAATGATTTTTTATAACCATATATATAATACAAATATTATTTTAATACATTTTTAATTGAATTATGTTTAGGTACATTTTACACAACTAGTATGGGGACGATTATATCAAAGTTTTACTCCTATCTTTTGGAAAGTTAGGATGGGACATCATCAACAGTGCAAAACAATATTCTCTTTGGTTTTATTTCCTCTAATAATATTAAAATAATGTAAAAATTAAAAATTTTACATTTGACGTAATTGAATACTAACTTATTTATGATTAAGATCAAATTACATAATGTAAAAGTTTATACTTGTTTAAGATCATTTAATAAGTTTATACTTGTTTAAGATCATTTAATGAGAGAAAATCAAAGGTTGAGATTAACAATAGGAAATAAGAAGATATTTATTGGGGGAAAAAAAAGAATTAATCTCGTCTTTTGATTTTCATTCATCCAACGACTCTAAAAGAATATAAAACTAAAAATTTTATACTATGTGTAACTTGTAAGTGAATCCTAACCCGTTTAAGGTTAGGATTCAATTACATAGCGTAAAACTAAAAACTTTTACACATTTTTAGGATCTTTCGATGAAGAGAAAATCAAATGCTGAGATTAACAGTAGGAAATGAGATAATCATTGAAAAAAATAAAGATTTAATCTTATCATTTGATTTTTCTTCGTCTAACGATACTAGAATGATGTAAAAGTAAACATTTTACACGTAAGTGGATTCTAACCCTAAGTTTATAATTAATAATTTTTATTACTAATTTTTAATTATTCACATAATTTTGTTCGAAAACAAATACTTTTTAATTTTAAATATATATTAATTCTTACTTTAACTTTTATTCATCGTTTAAATTCTAAAATTTAATTTTATATTAATTTTTTAATATTATACTACAATTCTTCATTTTAATAAAAAAATGAATTATTTATAATCGTCATGATTCTATAAACAATCTAAATTAAAATTTTATTTTTGTTGATATCTATATAATAAAATGTATCATACAGATAAATGCTGTATATACGTTATAATATTTCTATATTTAAAATTGTTAAAGTTAATTTACATTAGATTTTTAATTATGTAAGTTATAAAATTATAGATCCTAATCTATTAGAAAAATAAGAGGTGGATATTAGCTCGGAACAAGAAATGTAGAATTGGCCACGTTTTGGAGAGATAATAAGAGAATGGCAACTTTGGTCCGTTTCTCTGCCGCCCCCACGCTCTTTCCTAGGCTTTGTGCCTAACTACCCTAAAAATAATTTGATGTTAAGAATAAATTTATAAAATTTTAAAATGAGAGAAATTTATAAAATTATCAATAATAAATAAATAAAATATTTAAAATATGTGATTAATAATTAATTGATTTAGTGAGATTAGATACTAGATCTCTTAAATAAAATTAAATATTCAAATTATGATGGTTTCGAATGAAGTAAACTAAATTAGGAGCCTTAACCTCTATAATACTATTTTAAATTAGTCAAATAATAAATCAAATATTAATGATTAAATTAAAAAAAATCTAAAATATATGATAATTAAAAAATTTTAAAAGTACAACTATCTCCGCGTTCACCCCTATCTCCTATAA